TCTCTTTATAGAAAAGAACAAATTTGCTATTTTAATCTATATATTCATTTATTCGATGTCCGAAAGAAGCAGTGCTCAGCCGATATTCTGCCAACTTCTCAGATTAAAATTAAATGAACTAGAGAGGATCCATCTCCAATTGTTATATTAGTTTGAAGTACACAAGTTGTACTATATACTGATGTATTTTCTAAAAAAGACCCTTTTTAGTTTTCGAGATATGTGGCTCTCAATGTTGGTGATAAACGTTTAACAAATCATACTGTCTTCTTTTATATTCAGCAGCTAGAAAAACTCTTTCTGACTACCATGACTTTCCGGCTTTCTCTTGGGGTCATTAGAATGCACCGTGTGAAGAAGCGTTTAATCTCCTCAAACAGATATTAATTGAGCCCCGGTGATGCGTATCCCTGACATTGATCAACAATTTATCCTCGAACTCGTTGCATCGGAATATGGTTTAGCAGCTGTTCTGGCTCAAGAATTGGACAGAAAAAAGTCAGCGGTTGCTTATGCTAGTCGTACGTTAACTCCAGCGGAGAGAAACAGAGCTGATCACCTACATGGTAAACTGCCAGCGGTGCAGGCAGGTTGCAGTTTGCAGGTGAATAAAAAAAATTTCCACTAACGGCCGGCAGATAAAGACGAATGTTTTACTGCTGGCACTCCCCGCAGGGGAGAAGATTTTACCTGCATTCCCTGCAGGGAAAGGCGTTTTTGTGTGGAGAATGAAAATAGAGAGGAGACGAAGATAAATACTGATCACACTGAAGGTCAGAATGATCTCTTAACGAAAAGAAACTAACTAACAGTTTTTTTTGTATACTACTAGACACTTTAAGATGTAAAGAGAGAAACGTTTTATCCGTAATCACTTATATCATTTGATATTGTCATTTTCCTCTAATATAATGGCCTAGACCGCATCTGTGTAGAATTCTTATTTCTCTTTCTTAAATGAATAAAGTTTAAACTAAACTAAACGAAAAATATAGAATAAAGAAAAAGAAATGAATTTTGTTCTTATTGTATGTAATGTTTCTTTTAGTATGCGCACTAGGTATAGTACATAGAAGATGACAAACGACTGTAACGATAACAGAAAGAGAAAAATATAGAACAAGGATAGTAAATCGTAACTGGTGATACAGTCTATAATTATTAGCGTGTAATACAGAATGATAGTGGTCACTAGGAAAAAAATTGTTATATCTCGCCTTAGGGTCCACCTGCAGTCAACCTGCAGGGCAGGGCAGTGCAGAAGTTTCCACCCTCAACCTCTGCCTGTGCAGAACAAAAGATTTTTTTGGTAACCTGCAAACTGCAACGCGGATAAATTTTATTTTGCCCCCTACGCGGTATCGCGCAGGGATGAAAAATTATGCAGATGATCAGCTCTGGAGAGAAAATACGTTGCTACCGAAAAGGAAGCATTAGCAATTGTATGGGCAACCAAACACTTTCGCTCCTATCTGGAAGGCGGAAAAGTGCTCGTTCGAGCGGACTGTAAAGCTCTTCAATGGTTAAAATCTGTGAAAGATCCAACAGGGCGTCTGACCAGGTCGGCCATGAAACTGAGCGCATTGGATCTGGAAATTCAGCATCGACCTGGGACGTCAAATCAAAATGCTGATGCTCTATCAAGATATCCAGTTGAGATTCATTCGCCACATTCTTCTAATTATTCAAATGAAAAAGAGATTAATTCATTAGACACAGCAGTAAATATCTGGGAGAGCTGCAATAACTTAGAGGATATAAAAGAAGAACAGAAAAAGGATTCGAAACTCAAACCGATAATAGACTACTTACTAAATAACACGACGAAAAGTAATTCACCTCCTTCGAAATCATTTCGAAAAACGGCGTCTCAGTATGTGATCGTTAATGGAATCTTATACAAGATCCGGTCAAGAAACTCGAACGAACACGAATCCGTTCCAGGAAAGAAAAACATGATTGTAATTCCACAAAATAGACAACAACAAATACTAGAATGGGCCCATGATCATCTTACATCGGACTATTCTGGCCTTCATAAAACACTTTACCGTCTATTAACTCGAGTATACTGGCCCGGCATGAGAAAAAACGTGTACAACTACACTCAAGCCTGTTCATCATGCCAGCAATTTAAATATTCTAATCATCCTTCATCAACTCCCATGCAACTTCATTTAGTTACCGAGCCATGGCACACTACTGGAATCGACCTGATGGGTCTTTTCCTCCTACTCAAAGACAAAAACAATATTTACTTGTCGTCGTTAATTATTCTACTCGATGGGTGGAAATGTTCCCTCTACGGACAACAACAGCAACATATATGGCTACTGTTATCGTGAATGAAGTCATTTGCCGGTACGGATGTCTCAAGTATATTCTGTCTGATAATGGATCCCAGTTTGTCGCGGAGATGTTTACAGATATGCAAAGATTTGGGAATTAAAAATAAATTTACAGCCACTTGTCATCTACAAACAAATATGACAGAACGAGTAAACAAAACAGTGAAACAAATGATCGCTCAATATGCAGAAGGCAAACCAAATTCATGGGATAAAGAAATAGCAAAATTAGCGTTTTCCATAAAAACACCAGTTGATGAATCAACAGGACAGCCTCCAGCGTTTTTGAATCTTGGTAGAGAACCTCAACTTCCTCTTGATCTGATCCTCGATGACCCTACTGAAGGCCCATCTGTACCTCCAGATGAAATAAAACATGTGGCTCTAAGTTATCGTGACCGACTAAGTCAAATGGCAAGGTCCTTGTAAAATTCTTCGACAAATTAGCCTCTCGTCGTTTAAAGCCCAACGTCTATCAGATCGGGTTATTCTAGGTACAGTTAACTCGAGTCGTTTAAAACCGTATTACGAATTAAAAACCACTTCAACAGCGAAAGATAATTTAAAGCCACCCGCACCACTCATGTCACTGCCGTTAACTCCAGTAATTCCAACACAGAACATAAGAATACCCCCAGAACGCCTACTCCGAAGAACGAGTCGAGTAAGAAGACCAACAATTCGGTATAATAATGATTAACGAAAACGTGTGTGAGACTCCCTACAACAATAGTGATCACTTATAGTTAGGGAGCCATCTGCACACATTAAGAACAGATGGAGATCACTTTCGCACATCAATCAAATTAAATAACGGCTGAGAAAAAAGCAGAACAATATCACGAAAGTTAAACGTTTATCACTGAAGTCAATTATCCTACGGCAATATATACATTGATGAATGGATAAGGTTGAAAGCTTTTATCCTCATATACAACACACCAAAAGAAAAGAAATAGGTATATCTGAACTATCTCAAAACACCTTCTTCATTATTGATCTTCATTCATCAACACAAAAAAAAGAAAAAACAGACCATCAGTAGCGAAGAGGAAGAAATTAGAAAAGAAAAACAAAACAGACGTAACCGATAATTAACATTGTATCGATTCATTCATTATATCAATCACACGCGGAAATTACATAAGGAACACGACATATTTTCAACAGCATCTCAAGATGAATATGAAAATAATTGTAATATTGTTGGCTATCGTCAATATCCAAACACTCAGACTACCTACTTCATGATCTCTTACCCAGCAACTGGAACAATTTTTGAATATATTGGTCTATATATGCCGTCAAACAAGATTATAAAGAATTCTGTATCATTCCCGATCGGAAAAGCCACCTGGCATTTAATTCCACCAACACCCGCCAAAAGAATACCGGGATGCGCGTCTCTCTTTGAAACCAGAGAACAAAGCGTATGTATTGTTAACACGAAATACAAAACAACAGCATCCCAAAGGTATTCGTATAACACGACACCGACGTTTTATCGGAGAAATCATCGGCATCGGAACCGTGGCACTAGCATCACTCTCTCAGAAGTGTATTCTTATTTTTCTGTTGACGAGGTTTATTTAGTCCACTAGCCGTAGTTTCAAACTTTTTTATATTAATAGACAGCTTCACTTCCACCATCGCCTATGAAAATGTCTTGTCTTACAGTTGGTGTCGTTAACCCGATGACTCATCATTTTACAGTCTAATTTTGCGGTATCGCCATCTAGTGCTAATTTGCCTTTGTTGATTTCGAAACTCTGCTAAATTAAACAGTCGCCTAAACGTTTATGTCACTTTCAGGTCTTAAAAGACGGTTGAGTGATTTTATAAGAAATCCCAGTATTAAGTTTAAACGTTATGAATAATGGCATATGGTAATATATACATATATCCGCCATTAGTCCTGTACTTTTTCACGATTGCGACCTTTTCTCATCATTGATCTGGAAAACGCATTTAGTGTTTGCCCTCTAATTAAAGCAATAGATTCATTATATTAAAATAGTTCTTTAGTATAAATTTAGGCTTTCAAAATGCGGTTGAGTGAATTAAACAAAGAAACTCCTCTTTGAAGAGTTCTTGAGTAACCAGTAGTAAAAGTTAGACTGTAAACGAAAGAATGGCCCAAAAAAGTACCCTGTCTAACGTTATTTGTAATGTTGAAATAATACTCTACTATGAGTGATTACAGTCTGTTACAGTATGACTCACCGAAAAAATGGTCTGATTGAGCTTCAGTTCAATCGGATTATTTTTTACGCAGTAAGAATCTGTAGTAAAATCTCAGAAGATTTTTTACTACAGATATTTTAGACTCTATCTCAGATTCTAAATTTTTTTTTTAGCATTCTTCTATTTCGTCTTTCTGCATGAGAAGCTTTTTAAAACTAAACACTGACCGGACTTTTTATATAAGACTTTCACCATATATCTCGAGAAAGAAAGCATATTTTTGGGAAAGAAAGTTTAGAAACTGAGAAGGGGCCTCCAGTGTTTGTGGTAAAAATTTCAGCTCCATCTGACCTTTTTTTCGAGGGATCATAATGTACCTGGATGAAATCTAGAGTTTGCCAAAAAACTCATAGAAGAACATGTAGCAAAATTCTAGGCTAAACACATCGATTCTCTTACTCGATTTTCAATCTCTGATATAAATTTCAACCCGATCGGACATCGACTTTCCAGTTTCTAACAAGATCAAAAAGAAGGGAGAGGTACCTTAAATCCACTATTAGCGGCGCCAAAATACAATGTACTTGCGTGTTTTCGGAATAACTGTTACAAGAAAAAAGCAGCCTGACATCATCGACTATTACTCGATGCTTGAAAATGAAAGTAGAAATGTATAGAAAATTCATTTTTTATTTCCAAGTTTTCAACACATAACATGTGTCATCATCAGGCAATATAAACGATTCTAACAAAAGATAGAGATTTTATATCAAAGTCTATGGCGATTCATCCGTCTTTTCATTTGAAATTCGTTTATGAATCAGTATTCTTTCTTTTTCCTTTCTTTATCATTTGTAAGATCCATTCGAAAGATATTACTTTTGAATAAAATTTCACTCAATGCCCAAACAGCAAATTTTTGTGTGAGAAGTGTTTCTTTAATTTCACGTTTTCGTTCATTCGAATCATAAGCTAAAATACTTGGTTCTTCAAAATTAAATCTATGATTCCTTGCATCTTCTACAATGGTTGACGACTGAAATATGCGACGTATCTATTTAAAACTAAGTCTCGCATTTCGTATATTTTTTGAAAGCCAAGCCTAACTGATAACAAGCCCGACTGGTATCAATCTTGACTGGAGATTGGTAGGATTGGTACCAATCCTGACTGGAGATTGGTAGGATTGGTACCAAGCCTAACTGATAACAAGCCCGACTGGTACCAATCCTGACTGGAGATTGGTAGGATTGGTACCAAGCCCGACTGGTACCAATCCTACCAATCCCCAATCGGATTGGACTGGTGCATGCCTACCGATAGGTACTTTTATTGATAGTAACTGACAACGAAACGACGTATTTAGATCTAAGAGGTGTATTGTCAGCTGTTCGGACAGTGATATTTGGGGTATCGGGACGTTTATGAATATTTCTTGTATCGAGCTGTTCAACTGCTTCCTTGCTAATGAGAGTACACGTTGAACCAGTATCTATCAGTAATCTAGCTGCATATCCAGTAATTGTACCCGAAACTTTAAGTGGTTCTGACGCAGGAATCCGTGGAAAGAACGTGCACGTTCTGCAGAGTTCTAGTTGGAATCCTGATGTTTGGCGAGTTTTTTCGAATATAAGTAACTGGAATCTTTCCGTCTAGCCTGGGGAAGGTTCCTTAATCGTTTTTTGGATACTGGCGGTTGGAAAAAACATTTTGTCTGCATGTAGAAGCATAATGACCGAGTTTTCCACAACCCCAGCATTCGACGTTTCTTGTATATCGCCATTGTGGCGCCGAGAGAGACGACGAAGGAGTTGTCGCGGGTTTTGTGTCGACCGCTTGTTTTTTTCTCTGGAAAATGGGTTGCTCTGCCTACTGAACTTTTGTCATCAGATGATTGAGAGAAATATTTTCATGTACTCCGACCAATAACAAAACTTCCGGACTCATCTTTTCATAGATATGTTTTACCAAACGTGATTCATTTTCCTCAGGTTTCTGTTCATACCATAACGCACGTAGCCGCACAATAAATTCATTTATCGGTTCTTCTGTTTTTTGTAGGCACTGATTCCATTGTTTGTTTGGCTTGCGCTAAACGTAATGGAGATGTAAATTGTTGAATAAAAATTTGCGTTGGAAATCCGACCAGTTGTATGAAACTGATGAGCTTACTAGTAATTGAGTATATCATTCGAAGGCTGTGACCAGGAGATAATTTAATATATTTCGAAGTAGCGTATCGGTGTTCCACCCGTACATAGCTACGGTATACTGCTGTAATTTAACGAGAAAGTGCAGGGGTTTTTCTGAGGTTAATCCTGAAAACGTGGGCGGTGGCGTTGGTGGTTGAATAAGAACCGTATGCTGCAGGTGAGATGTAGACACAGAAGCGATGGTTGATGATATGTGTATAGGTGGTGACATTGTCGTAGGCGCGTCCTGCTGAGATGTTAATAACTCTTCAGTATATGTCGGACGAGATATTAGGTGCCGAAGTTCACGCATAGAGTCTTCAAATTGAGCTGATAATGCTCGTACACCCTTATCCGTACTTATACTGATTCCTTCCACTTGTTCTTGTAGGT